CTCCGTTCTTATGGCTTTTGAAAGAACACCAAGATATGCATTTGTCAAAAAAAAGAAAAAAAGAAAAAAAAAACACACAAGGCGCCTAGAGGCGACTAGCTCCCCCGCCCGGGTTTAAAGGAACTCCCAGCAAAGCCAATCCATCGCTGCCAAAGGTCAGAAACTGCTGCGAATGGGAGCTGAGGCAGAATCACACGTTGGGATCCCCATCTGTCCAACTTAAACATCACCCCACTAGAGGAAAGCTCGGCTCCCCTCGCCCATCCAAAAAACGGACGAGGGGAAATCGGCGCATCCCTCTCGAAGAAATATTGGCGAACACACATGGATTTGTCTCAAAATAGGGGAGCCCCAGTTAAATAGACAACCCAAGAACGGTGCCTCTTTTGTTTCCCCTTAAATGCCGAGCTAAAAGGGGTCCACCATTTTGAGAAAGACCCACTTGAGTGTCACAATCGAATCCCTGGCATTGAAGGGCTCCACCCAAAGGGTGGATATATCCACACTGGGGTGCAGGTCGGGACTACGCCTAACTTTCCGACTACTTACTTGCCCGCACCTGTCGTTCCAATCTGGCCTGCCACTTATTTCTGGTTTTGATTCCGGCTCTACTTGGCCATGGAGGCTGGTTAGCGACACCCTCCAAAATGGACATGAATCCCTGCGCATTGATGTCCACAACAGGGTCACTTCCATAAACAAACTCTTCGTATTTGAGCTTGTCTCTAAAGGGAACCCTCTCAACAAAAACACTCAAGCCGACTCCAGCATGCTGTGCCTGTTCATGGAGTAGAACATCATCTGACTTGAAGCCCAATCGAACTTCAAGTGAGGCTGCGCTTGGTGTAAAAAAAGGAAGCTTCTAGCGGTTTTGAAGGTCATCCTTCGAAAATGCCCAGTCAAAGTGACCCCCAAAGTGGGGTACTGTTACCGTTTAAAGGGGAGCTGTAAGTGCGTAGGGAACCGTGGCTTTGTCGCCTTCAGCCAACGAAATTGGGGGGGGTTCACCCAACAAGACCAACATGGTTGTTTTCCTTTTATTGGTCTTCGCCCCAAAATTCAAGAGTTCCGCCCCACCGAAAAGACATATCAAGACACCGGAGAAGTCTTCCCCCAAAAGGGACATGAAGTCGCCAGACCCCAACCCCACCCTTCACTTCACCACCCAAACCCCGAAGTTCTGAATTGGAGGCCGCTTCCACCCCTTCCTTCACTTCAACCCCCCGTCCAAATTTTAACTTCCAAACGCCAACCTCCGCAAAACCTTCACTTCACTTTCTTCCACCCCTTCCTCCACTTCAACCCCCCACCCCACCTTCAACTTCAAAACGCCAATTTTCTGGCCCCCCCCCCAAACCCCCAAACCCCCAAACCCTTCACCTCACTTCCCCCCTTCCCCTGGCTCCTTTTCTGGGACCCCGCGCTCATGTCGTTGGCCACCACCATGTTCACCTCCGCGCAGGCCGGCCCCGCTTGCCCCGCCCGTCCGCCCTCCAGGCAGGCGGTGTCGCGCACGAAGGTGCCCGAGACCTCGAGCCAGCGAGCGAGCGCCGGAGGGGGTGCACCCGGGTCGACCCGCAGAAAAAATCCCCTAAGGGTCAAAACGGGGGGGGGGGGGGTCCAAGGGGTTTCCCTTCGAAAACCAGAACCAAAGGGGTAGGTTTCCCTTCGAAAACCAGAACCAAAGGGGTAGGCCTACCCCATGAAAACCATCCAAGAAGTACCCGTTTCCTCAAGCTTCCCTTCGAAAACCGTCCAGAGGAGTTCCCGCTTTTTGAGGTGTCTCTGGAAAACCATGGAAACAAACCCCGAACACTCGAGAAACTGGGTCTGGTTGCCTAGTGTCCATGAGTGGGGTTCCTCATCTCTCCCTTGAAAGCCATCCCAAAACTGTGGTTGTGTCTTCCTCATGTTCCACTTTACAACCGTCCCAGAAGGTGGTACCTTGGGGCCGGGGGGGGGGGGTTACGTGCAGAAGCCAAGAAGTGCTCCTCTACCTGTTGGAGGCTTGCAGGTTCCCCGCTTGTTTCAAGGGGGTTGGAGACACTAATCGAGGGGGGTGCGTCTTGGTAGAACTTTCATGCAGCCTTACCAGCCGCGCCCCTTGTTGCGTTCCCAAAAAATCCTGGTAAGGCGTTCAGCTTATGAAAGGAGCAAATGTTTCGGTAGTTTACCGCACTCCCCACGTTCCCCCAGGTAGCGCCATCCACAAAAGGGTGAGGAGTTCTCTCAAAATACTGACCCTCTACACTGGTTCTTAGTTCCCTTTTGGCTTGCCAGCCAAAAGGGAGCTTTCCTCTGAGGTGGGCCGGCGGTTGAAGACATGGCGGCCTGGGCCGCCTTTCGGCCACGCCAGGCTCGCTTCAAACCCGCCCGACCTTTCACAAGACGATCTTCAAACAAGAGGAAGCCATGGGTAACCGCGTCTTTGAGGTCACCCTGTTCGAGGCTGCTTGTTGCGGAAAAATGTATTTGGGACACCCATTTAGAGACGAACCCACATGTCGACATAGCTCCAATTGATAGGGGATAGTTCTTGAGTCTGCAGCCCCTAAAGCTTCCCTGCAACTGGTGGTTTGGAGTGGTGGTTTGGTGGCGAGCGGTGGTTCCCATTTACCCTCCGCGAGTTTGGGTGCGTCAGCTCCAGTTTGGCAAGTGCGCATGTCATGCCCGTGGCTCCAATTCCGCAGGGCTGGCCCAAGGCGAATTTGATTCAGATCCAGCCGTGGGGGTGAACGGTTATCAGCCAGTTAAACGCAAAGAAGCCGAAAGGAACCCCGGACTTTGGGAGACACCCAATCCGTTTTGAGACAGTGGTTTCTGTTGCAGGTGAGGGGTTTTCTGAGAGCCCCCGTTGTTTCAAGTAAAGCAAAATAAGTCACCCCGAGGAAAAAACAGGTGGCCTTTGCACTGGCTTGGTCTCAACATCGGCCCCAGAAGCCAGTTTCCGGTTGGCATCCCAAAGCCCAAAAAACAATACCAACTTGACCCAAAAAAAAAACGAAAAAGTGTTTGCAGAGGTCGGTTTCCCTTGGATTTGTGGTTTGGATTGGTCGGTTACCCCAAAATAGAAGTGTTCCCAGCCACCCCCTTGAACGCAAAACCAGCGAGCCTCAAGACCAACAAGCCTCTGACGCCCTTTTCGCGGGGCTTCGAACTATTTGGAGAGGTTCCATGTGAATTGGTGGGAGGGGTGGTTACTCCATTCCCCTTTTGTTGGCAGGTTCAATGGAAACAACAAAAACCTTGGGTTTTGTTGTGGCACATCAACGCCCGAACACCAACTTCAGAAGTGGGCTTCCACCACGTTTTGTAGTCTCCTTTTCGGGAGGTTCGCTAAAAAAAGCACACACACACACATATATATATATAGAAATATAAACAACCGGGTAGACAAAGAGTGGGTGTTGCCCTCTTTTTCTTTTTCGGCTTTCGAACCAACAACCTCCCCCCACCCCCCCACCCCCCCCCCACCCCCCCCACCCCCCCCACCCCCCCGCCTTCCCCGTGCCGAAGGTGATGCTCACGGAGTGCTGCGACACCGAGCCCCGGGGCAGCCGCGTGCCGTCGTGCTCGATGGGCACCGAGCTCATGGACAGGGTCTCGTTGTAGCCTCGGCCAAGAATCCCTCAAACCACCGGTGGAACTGGCTCAAGCCACCGGGGCTCAACCGGAAAGAAAAAAAAAAAACGGGGCTCAAAAGAGGTGGCTCAAAACGAATAGACGCTGGATCTGGCTCAAAAGCACCCTCTTTGGGGGCTCAAAACAAAATGGGGCTCAAAAGAGGTGGCTCCAAAAAATAGTATGGGGCTGAAATGGTGGCTCAAACATGTTGGGGGTTGGAAAACTGTCGGGGGCTCAAAGACTTTCGGGGGCTCAAAACTTTGGGGGCTCGAAACGGTGTGGCAGTCACCCATGTTTGAACCTCAAAAGGGTTCTGAAACGGCAACCAGTCTTTTCTTGGGGAGGACGGGAGGGGAGGGGCCCAAAGCATCCCAAAGCATCCCAAAGCCATCGTTGCCCAGAACTCTGCGGGAAAAAAAAACAGAGCGACGCCTCTTTTTGCTTCCCAAAAGCAGCTTCCTCTGCTCCCCCTTCGCTGACCACCCCCTTCTCCCCCTTCCCTCTCCCTCCGCCCTCGACCACGCCCGCAGCCGCGACCCCGGCGTTTAAGATCTTAGTCAAGTGGTTGCTGACTCTGGTTGCTACTAAACGGAGACTTGTGAAAAGCGGTATATAAGCAATGAGCCACAGGCAGAATGTGTTGTTGGGGAAAAACTCATGCGCCCATAACGCGCCCATAAAGACGGCTCATATATTCTGACAGCTCACCTCCAATCAGCTATACGGCCTTGGCGACCGGGGTCCACCAAAAATACGCTTCAGAGTCTGCTTCATATTCAAGTTCTGCAGAATTTGGGGAGACTCCGCAAGTTGGGTAGACTCCCCAAATACACCCAACAATACATCATTTGAGGGTAGACTCCCCAATACATCATTCAGTCTACCCTCAAATTCAAGTTGACCCAAGCTTCCTTCTTTGAAAGCCAGCTCGGCATGCCAGGGCCAAGCTACACCTTTAGGACATACCATTTAGCAAGGTCCCAAAACAGACTACCCCGTCCTCCAAAAAACACACGCACACCCGAGGTATGGAGGCTCTAAAGTAGCACATAAATATAAGATATGCTGCCTTTCAGGCGAATACTGGCGCATTCCATACCACCAAAACCCAGACCAGAAATGCCAACTCCCTTGAATCCAACCAACTGGTTTCCCACAAAACAAGTCTCTTAAAACCAACCAACTGCTTGGTTCCCCCCCCTCAAAAAAAAAAGACGGCTTCCCCTTAAAACCAACCCCCTCCTCGGCTTCCCCGGGAACCAAGAAAACCTCAACGAGGCGCGGTTGTGCTTCAAGCAGGTCTCGCGGGTGCACGCGCTATTGGGCACCACAAGGTGTGCCGAGCCTAACGGAAGAAGAAGAAAATGACCCAACCTCGCTTCCTGAGTTGATTGGCCAAAAAAAAGTCCAAACTTTTTGTTTACCACCAAAACCACCAAAATGGTCTTCCCAAAAAGTATAAAGTCCATGAACTCAGGAAGTGAGCAACCCGAAGGATATGAGCACCAGGGGACCGCAGGTCTTAGTCGTTGTTTCCATTTAACAGGGTTCCATTTTTGGAACATTCTTGACCCATAGCCATATGGCCATGGGTCGTTCTAAAATGGGTGGTGCACCTACCCCAAAATGGGATCCCATTGGTTTTGACCCACAGCCATACCTGCAACCTCTCAATCGGCCAAAGTTCTGGCCTAGATCCAAAAAGGATCCGTTTTCTGATTTCGGCTTTTTCTGGAAGTTTCGGCTGATCTAGTTTCCTGTCGGCGTTTTTGTGGCAGGTGACGTTTTTGGTTTCTGTCGGGCGTGGGCGGGGCGGGGGCTGCCTGCCTGCCTTCAGTTCGGCCCTTGGTGGCTCCAACAGCGCGTGGCCGACCTCTTACAACTTTTTTCTGCCCACGCAGGTTGGTGAGACCTAGCTTGCTGCTTTGCAAGGCTAACACCAACCGAAATTGGGGACCCATCTTTGATTGATTTCAAGGTTGATAAAACAAAAATCCCTCTGCCCCGACCCTTCCAGAACACACAGGCGGGCGACCCGTGGTTCTATGCTGACCTTCAGACTGCTTGCTTTATGCACGGGCATCAACATTGTTGAGAATTCCACCTTAGTTTCGCGACTTCCTGCGTGTTGACTGACGATTTCCAGCCAAGAGCGGCATCCATACTAATTAGTCTTGTCCCCTTGCTGCTGACACCTACGCGGCTTTGCAATAAACACATGCACGCATGTGGCTGAAGTGGCCGACTGGTTGGCTACGCGCGGGCTAAGATAGTGTGACTGCACACGCTTCGTGGAAACAAGCAGCAGGCCGCCCTACAGTGCGTGAACTGCGCAATGTCTGCAATGTTATGTTTCTTTTTCAGTAAATTAATGTTTTTTCAGCCGGCGGGAAATCGGCGGAATTAGGCGGGAAATCGGCGGAATTCGGCGGGAAATCGGCGGAATTTGGCGGACAACATTTTTCACAAGTGTCGTAAGCACATTTATGGGCTTTGAGCCTAGTGACTTAGCACAAGCAGCGGGGTTCCAACGCAGTCATGGAACGCGGCCAGTCGGCATTAAACCGCCGCAACTCTTCTGACAATCTATTTGAAATTGATGATCCTCCTCCGGGGGTTTGCTGCTCTTGCTGAAGGGGCGCTTGCTTTCCGAAGTTGCGCTTCAAACCCAAGTACCACTCGATGCACCACAAAGCACTTAGGCGTTGGAACCGGGAGCACCCCTGATTACGTCTCCCATCGCGACTGTATGCGAGGCTGCGGGGACCTGGTAGGAAAAACAGCGAGGTTAAGCCGGAGAGTATCAACAAGACAGTCTGGAAGGCGAGTTTTGGACCGTGCAGTGTTTCGGAAGCACATCCGAGTCCGCCGCCAACAAGGGAAGCGTGCGATAACGTTTTGCAAGAGAGCTTCGAAGAGCTAAATGGCAGAAAAGGCGCTTTGTTGTTTGTGGGTTCCTTCACATGCCCCAGCCCCAAAAACTTGGCCTTGACTGGCTGGTCTTGTGTCGAAGTGGCGGCCCAAATCGGCAAATATTTGTTCTCATCGGCTGAAGAACAGGCCGCCAATCAAATCGGCTGAAAGTTCAGCCGCCGGAGGCTCTAGGTATGACTTGACAGGGGCCCTTTCAGAGTGTCCCCTTGAATCTCACATTTAGAGCGGGTTTCAGGGTTCGATCGTTTCCACTTGCAAGAGACAAAAATGCTCTTTTTTTGCAGCCCCCTCAGCTTCCCCTTCAATTGGAGTGGTTTGGATTGGTGGCTTGGATATGGATTTGAACCCCTGTTCTTGAGCGAAGCTGATCACCTTCCGAACATGGAACCTCACGAGTTTGGGTGGTGGTTTGGAAAAGCAAGCTTCCTTTTATCGGGATTTCCCGAACCTCAGGTTCAACGGTCAGTGGGGAGGGTAAGCTTCTTAGCCAACTAAAACTCAACAAAATTAGAGCCAAGAACAGTCAAGAAAAGTCGTAGATCACCTGCCCCTCGCATGTTTCTTCGGACAAGGAGCACATAGACTAGAGGGGCTAAACCGGAATGCAAGACTCCCTGGACACAAAAGAGGAGCGGCTTTTTTTGGGGAAACGATCTATTCTTTGGTGCTTCTCACTCTCGGACTGGTTCGGATTCGAAGAGGCAACCCGGCAACCCCGTTTGTTTTTGTTGTTTTTCTTCTTCTTTCTCTTTTTCCTTTTTTTCCGGTGGTGTTCATCGCCTAGGGAGCTGGAATCGCGCAGTGGGGAGTCTAACGACCTGGTAACATGGGGCCCAAAACCGTGCACAGGCTGGCGTGTGCTTGGGACTAGCCGCTAGCCTTACAAGTCTCCCGGGTTCAAAATCTTGGCGCACTGGGCCCAGGGGCCCGACAGCTAGAACTTTGGGATCCCATGTGTGGGGAACCCAAAAAAAGAACACACCATCTCCAGGGAGTTGGGTAGAAAAATCCGTCTGAGCGAAAAAACCAGAAACAGAGCAAGAGGATTTTTCGAGTGTGCCACTGAACAAGTGGGGCATCACCTGAAAACAACGCCTCCGAGACACTGGCGTCTAAATGTCAGGTGTTCAAAGGACAGGGAATCCAACTTCCCAATGTCTAACTCTTCCCGGAAAATGTAATCGGCTCATCCGTAACTAATTTGGGTGACCCTAGATGGGTTCCAACAAATAGGCTCAAACGGATGCTACGCGCATAGTCCTTTGGCGTAAGCTGATCCATCACATCCTCAAAAAAAAATGCACCCTCAACAAAACAAGACCTGACGGTTTACATGGTGTCCTCACCCCAGACGTTTGAGGACCCTTCAAACTGTCCCTCATGATTCTGAGAAAGTCAAAAAACATGTTCACAGGGGGAATCAGTGAACCAGTCCAACGCTTGTGTTGACTCTTGTCACCAAGATTGTTAAGGCTTAATTAGAAAGGGCTTACCATAACTTCACCAGACCCGGCAAGAATCGAACCCACTAACCTCCCCTTTTCGGGAATCGGTTTCGCTCAAATTGGAGCCCAGGCGTCAAGACTTTTGCACGTTGGTGTCCTTTCACAAACCCACCCGAACCTGGGGTACCCGGAGAAAACACACGAGCCACACGAGCCACAGGCGGATTGTGTTTATTCTCCCAATGGGATTTTGGTGAAGCCCATGTGTCAATGGTATTGTGCGGGGGGGGGGGCTCGTGTGGACCATCCCAAGTGGATGAGGGTAGAAACATTGACGGTTGCTCACATCCATATTCCTGTGTTGCTTGACCGGGTGGCTTCACTTGGCAAAACCGTAGAGTCCCACAAAATATCCGTTGGCAAAATGGCGGAGCCCCTTTTGGTTGTTGTTTGAAGGGACACCCAAAGCAAACCCACCGTTGTAGGGGGGCACCCATATGTACCATGGTCAAAACACCCACGATCAGGCAACAAACGCAAGGATTTCGATTAAGAGAGCCATGACCATGGCCTGCACGTCCAAATGGGTGTGGCTTAAAATTCAGGAGCTTGCTGGCGCAGGTCTTGGTCTCTGGTTCTACCTCTACCAAGGTCCCAATTTGGTTGGGCTCCCCCATTTTGCCATATGGATATTTTGTGGCACTCCATGGTTCTGCCCATCAAAAAGCCTAAATTCCTCGCAATGGTTGCCTAACATCCTGAGCCCATGACCACATGTTTCTTGCCACGGACATATTGAGCATCACATCCCGAGGCGCGAAACGTCCGACCTCCGCGGGGAACGTCGTCCGACATCCGCGCCTGTGTCGAAGACCACGGTGAAGTCTTGCGGCTCTGGGGACCCCACCTGAAGGCGGTGCACCGGGCCCCAGCTAGGAGTGTCCCTAGCTAAATTTTGACACATGGCAGCATGGGCCTGATTTGTTTATTGGGGACAAAATGGACGAAGTTTGGGTGGGGATTCATGTCCACCGACCACTTTTGAGGGAGGCTCCCCTATTGAAATTCATGGCCGCATTGTTTGAAGGTTATATCATGAAGCTGCGACAAGGCAACGATCCGCTTGTGAAACAGAACATGTTTGGCGCGGGACCCGGCTTGCATCCAACTCAAGAGTCCATGAACTTCGAACAACTATAGAAATATCTCAAGCCGAAAACCGCCCCAGTTGTTGCTGTGTAGTCAGGACCTGTCGGTTTCTTGCCGCCTCGTTGTGGGACATGCCTCATTTCAGTGCGCAACAAAACGGATATGGCTGTGGCTCAAAAAACCGGTACCCAAAATGGCTTGCCCTGGTAAGTGAAAACATGGACCAAAACCTGCGGTTTGCCCCTCCGATCGTTTCATTTTGAGCCACACCCATTTCATTTCGCAACATAACCAGATCTACGAGGATTGACCTTGCGCGGATTGCCCTGCGGCGATCCAACAACTCCATCTCCAACTCAGTTGTTCAGTGACCTGGCAAAAAAAGGAACCCTTTTTGGGTAGTGGGGCAGCCACCAAAAAAAGGAAAAAGAATTGGTGCCACTGAACAACTGAGTCAACCCGTCAAAGGCCGGGCCTGGATCTTCCCAAAGTACGCAGTCCTTAGCTCCATTTGAACGTGTCCATGGCCAGAAACCTTAGGTCCTCCAGATTTGAGAGGCTAGAATAAGTTGGTACCGTTTCTTTTCTCAGTTTTGTCTATTTGAGTAGAGCCCTCCCAAGCAAAAAGGGGCTTAAAAAGGGCACCTAGCTGGGGGACCTACTGGTAGAAGACCAACACAACAAGGAGCAAAAGAGGGAAACCCCTTTCACACAGGTGTCCTGTTTGGGAAAATAGATGGCCCTGGTAGTTGATTGAACCACCAGGTAAACCAGGAATCGCCCTCTTATTTTTGTTCGACCAAATCAACCTAAAAGGACACCTATGCCTTTTCGGCTCAGGTTCTTGTACGCGATGACGCTGCCGTTCCGCTCGATGGGCACGTACTGCTTCACCAGGCGCACTGTGTGCAGCGGCGATTCCGCCGCTGCGGCGGCTTCGGCAGGAACGGCCACGGCGGTCTCTGCCGCCGATTCCGTAGCCCCCTTCCTCGGAAGCGGGGCGAAGCCCCCAGAAAAAGGGAGGCGACGAGGATTCAAGTACCACTGGATGGTGCTTGGAAACTGTCCACATGCTCACTTGCTCGCAGATGTGTGGGCACAACTAGCCCCCCTTTTGGTGCTTCGAATATTATGCTAAGGCCGCGCGTGCTTGTGCGGGAACCTAGAAGCTCGAAAGGCGACCTACTATAGTGGCTTGCCTGGAGGCACGGGCAGCGTCAAAGCCCACTTTGCCACCACAAGGTTTCATGCAACTCCTGTATACCTGTGGCCTATGGTCATGGTCCCCGGAATCATTGCCATGGTTACGGATCCTTACCAGGGCTTCGTTTTTCAGGGAACCCTTCCCCCAAACAAACAAGAAACATGATGTCTTTCCAAGGATCCTTACATTGTACACCTGAGCATTGCCTTGTAAATGGCGGTTTCCCTTTCTTTTGGTGGAAAAAGCAACATGTTTCCAATGGGTGGGCAAAATGGTGTACCAGCTCCAAACAAGACGCAGCCAGGGGATGACCTCCCATGCGACCAGGAGATGGACGTTTGAGGTCCTACTAGGGGGGCTGCTCCTCCTGTGTAGTGCTTGGATTCAGACCACTTGAGGGGCCAAAAACCACCCCCTATGAATCAACCGGGATTGATTCACAGTGGGTCCACAGTACCGGATCAGTTGTTTTTCGCTTCATGCTTTCCCATATTCAAAAAAAAAGAAATGTTCCTTTCAGCACATGGATGTCACTTTTTTGCCCACCCCACGTCTCAACCCGATTTTCGCTTTCCGCCAACCCGAGGCGCTGCGCCAGGAGGGCCGCCAGGTCCCCCGCCAGGCCCGGCGCGAGGCCCGGCGCCGCTTTCGCTTTCGCCGCCTGGACGGGGACGGGAGACGTGAGGAGACGTGAGGCGCCGGGGCCAAACTATCCCAACGGCCATGCCCGGGGGGCACCACAAAAAAAGGAGGTCGGATTTGTGAAAACCCTTTTTTCTCTCCCCGGATTTGTGGCTCTTTTCGTCAAACTGAAAAGAGGAGTTGTGGGTTCCTCTTGCTCTTTTTTCTTTAAACTACACGTGAAAAAGGTGCCAACTGCGGTTCCTCTTGTTTGTTGTTCTTTAAAACCAAAGCTGAGAATGGTGCCAAACACAGCCACGAACGATCCTCATCTCTTGTGCAACTTCATTCCCCAAACCCCTCAAATCAGCCTGCCTCTCGGTGGTTTGGAGTGATGGTTTGGAGCTTGGGGTGAGGCCCATTTGCCCTCAGCAAGAACCAGGGGTTCAAATCCAAACCAATCCAAACCAATCCAAACAGGGTTCCGGGAAATGAAATCCACGGATCTGTGATGCAACGAAAAGGGCCTAACTTCCCAAAGACCTTTAGTCATGTCCGTCTACGAGGGTTCAAAACCATTTTGAGGAACTTACTTTTTGACCCACGGCCACTCGTAGAAGTGGGACTCATCCAACAGCGATCCCAAAACCCAAAATCCAAACCTCCAGTTGAGTCATCATCGCTCAAAACCCGGGTACCAAAAACGGTCGCAATCCCAGCACCATGCTTCAAGAAGTAAGAAGGCCGCAGCTATTTATGGCTGGATCGTCCCTTACTAACCGGATCATCCACCCTGGTTTTGATTGTGGCTGCGGAATTCCGCGGCTATTTACGGCAAGGGGATCGTCCCTTAACCGGATCATCTACCCGAATCGGTTTTGATAGCAAGTGGCTCAGTTGAGGGGTACGGAGGGATCAACTCGACTCTGGGCAGTCCGTTTTCAGATCCGATCTGAAAGTGACAATAACTTTTCGTGGGTGAAATGGACACTAAAACACGAAGCCAAAAGGCGAAGGGACCGGACGGCTGGCTTCGCCACCAAGTTGAAAGAGGGGGTAACCCTTCTTTTGGGGGTTCCCAATTGGCCTGGCCCTATGCTGTTCCCCATGTACCCTCTACAAAAGCCAGGGCTTCAAATCCAATCCAAACCAATCCAAACGGATGAAGGGCTACTAAACACTAAATGGTTTTAGGAGTTAAATGGAAAAAAACCAACCACCAAAAAAAAAAGAGAAGCTAAGAAACCGGATGGCTGGGAGCATCCAAGCCACCGATCTCAGGGCTACCTGCAACGGATCCCCCGCCTGCGCCTTGAGCGCCATGAGGTCGGCGGCCAGGTCCGTGGGGGGCATAGCCAGGAAGGAGGTCCTTGACTCCGTCTGTCTCGAAAATGAAAAACTACTCTGGCCGGTTGTCCCGTGTGGTGCCCGTTTTGATTCTTTTTAAGCTGGAAGATGCGGCTCCGGCTCAAAAACGCGGGAGAAAATTCTCCCGAAAGGGCGCAACTTGACCGGCGGTGTCATTTTGAGCCGACCGTTTTTTTTCAGAAAGCACCTGCGCCAAAAAGGAAACTTTTGAGAGAGAGTCACGGGGTTGTGCAGGTCAGGGGGACCTTGTGGAGGGGTTTCTGGGATGAGTTTCAAGGGGGAGATGGCCAGAGGTTCTAGAATGTGAGCGGCCATGGGAAAAATCCCCCTCTCTTCGGTTGCCAATGTAACTTTTAAAGGGACAACCCTTCCAAGCCGAGAGAAAAGGAAGGGACAAATGGGGCCAAAACAGGCGAGGTTCCACATCGGCAGGTCGCTCCACCCTTCTCGCAAAACTCAAAGCCCAAAGGAACACAATCCAACTCTTGAGTGCGATCGTTTTTTTCAGCCACAGCTGGCTTTTGGGGTAAAGTCTTGCTGGAAAAAAGCGGTCTCGCAACTGGCGATCCAGGTTGCCGCTTCCTTCGGCCGAGCGTCGCATCGTCTGCAGCCGCAAACGCGAGGAGGCTGGCGAGCCTCGGCCGAGAAGACCAAAAGCGGCTGCCCGAACGAAAACCTTTTTTGTTGAAATAGATGGATTGCCCTGGTAGTTGATTGAACCACCAGGTAAACAAGAAATCGCCCTCTATTTAAAAAAAAAAAAAAAAAAACACATCAGCCAAAAAGGACACCTATGTAAACATGATGCTGTTTTGTAGTTTACATGTCGATGTGCAGGGGAGTATTGATGCGCATTAGAAGAAACATGGCTTTAGGACAAGAACAACTCTAAGATACCTTCAAAGCCGACATTGATGCTATGTGTGGCCACATACCCTTAGGGGAGTCGTAGTCGCAACCCGGTCTTAAAAATGGCGGCGCCCATTTATGGTTGGGACTATCCCTTACCTTCATCTATCCGGGGTTTGAGCAAGTGGCTTCGCTTGCCTTCTTCCTTTGTCCCTACCAGATTCTCCGGGCCGTCAAGCCCCACACCAGGCTAGGGAAAGGGGGGCAACATGGGAAAATAGGGGGGGGGGTGTCTTTTTCTGTTGGAGGTTGCCCCCCCTTTTTAGCGAAAAACCAAGGGGAAAAAACAACTTTTGGGGAGGTCCAAAAGGTTAAAAACGAGACATACCCAAAAGAGATCCACTAAGCCTGGGCCTCCTTCCAACCCCCGGGGCCTCTCCCAACTCATCACCCTCTTTCCCCGTTCTCCCCAGAACCCTCGACTCAACTCATCCACTCCACCCAGAAAATGTCGCCGGCCCGCTGGAAGGCGTGACCATTTTGTTCCTTCCCCACCAAACCGCCCAGGGATTCAGGACAGGCCACACGGTTCTGCGGGGCCAACTGGGGTGGCGAAAGCGCCATGTTTTTTGTTGGGCCCCTGTCAACAACCGCCGCGACTGGAGCTGTCTGCCAGGCAAAAGGGAGAGCTGTTGCTTCGCCATGGTCCTGACGAGACTCGCACCCTCGCGAGCTCGGACGGTTCCAGAGCCTCCATCGGGGTGTCTCAAAAACGAGAAGCCGCCCTCGCGCAAATTCGGGGGGTCAAGGGAAGCCACGAGCTCCGTCTGAATTCCCGGCCAAAGGCTTCATCACATTCATCACCCACCCGTACTTTTTTACCAGCTTTTACTGGAGGGCTGGAACTTAGAGTAGGCTTATGGTTCTGGGCTGCCCTCAGATCCCCTGCTAAAAGTCTAAATGTTAGTGGGTTAAATGGAAACTACAACACTAAAAAGCTAAAACGCTAAGGGGATGGCTGGGAGCCACCAAGGGTTTAGGCTCGGTGGTTTGGTTTAGGGTTGGGTTTTTGTGCAATTCTGCCCCGCGGATCGGACCCGAATCGGCGATTCCGCGCCTGGTTGGTAGTTAGAGCGTAGGTAATCTCCTGAGGAGATGTCTAGTACGGTACCGGGAGTGGAGCCTAAAAGGCTGCGGATCGTAAGAAGATGTGCACGATCCGACATGGCATCAACGGGCGAGCGACCAGAAGTCAGCCACAAGCAGCGGCTCCGGCGATGCTCCCCTGCAAATGGAAGCCAAAAAGCCATGATTGTCTAGGTCCTCCAGTAGAGAGGTTAGAATAAGGGCACCCTTTTTTCTGTAGTCTATTTTAGTAGGCATAGTTGTAGACCCCCCTTCTTGGAATCCATGCTGTCCCTAGAAGGTGACCAAACCACCACCACCCACACACATCATTTTGGGCTGCAATCACCTCTGCTCATGCTCAGTACGGTGGAGGCCCTATGGGGGAACCATACAGCTCTGGTATTTTGCAGGGTGCGGGGTGTCCAACTTGCTCCTCTCACCCCGTGTCGTTGGCATCCACTAGGGCCAGATTCCCAACTCGTCTCCCCCGCTCCTAGCAAAGGCATGAATGCGTCAGCGCAGCTTCCAATTTGACGCAACCCACTGTGGACTTGCGTCCGAGAGAATTTTCATCGGTGAGGTTGCACACTCCCTTTGTGAGCTCACTACAACTTGCCAAACAGGTGCTGCGCTGGATTTAGCGAAGTCGTGGTTTTGGGGTTCAGTGTCCTTGGTTGACTTGCAAGGTTTGGGGCGACAAAGGGATCGATCGGTCCACCCCACAAATCATCTACTCGCGGTCCAATGGTTTTTTTGGAAAACTAATCTCAAAAGCGGCCTCCTGTCCCCATTGAGTGATTGTTGACCGGGCTGTTCTCAAATCCCCCGCTAAAAGCCTAACTTTTGGTGGGTTAAATAGAAATCCACACTAAACACTAAAAGGCTAAAAGGCTAAGTAGCCGGATGGCTGGGAGCCACCAAGTTGAAAGGGGGGGAACCCTTCTTTTAGGGGTTCCCAATTGTTGGCCGGGCCCTGCTATGTTGTTCCACCGATGGAACAAAGACCAGGCTGCGCCTTTTGCGGATGCTTGACACGTGGGGTCTATTTTGCATGGCCTCCGTCTTTCTCGTCCTGAGGATATGAGGTTCTTATGCTTCGCGCCAAACACGCCTTTTTGGCTAAAGTACTTACTACATCCTCATGTTCTTCTGACTGAAGCTAACCACAACTCAACCACGACTCATGGCTTTGCCCTTGCCCAGTTTGCAGCTGTCGGATCCCCTGCCACCAGCTTTTCACTGAGTCCGTCCTGCCTCAGATCCAAGAGTTGAGGATGTTTTTCTCACTGCCACAGGGATCCCAACAAGCAAACCCTAAACCCAGCAAGCCGAAGAAGCAGACCCAGGCAAACAACTCTGACAGCCCACCAGCCCAACAGCCCCACAGCTCAAAAAACACTTTTAGCGGCAAATGGAGACTGCTTCAGATCCCAGGCCACCAAACCCGCGCCGAAAAACCCAAGACGCTTGGGGCCCGCCGGATGTCGTGGGCCCATGCCCACGCCCCAAACCCTGTCTCCAGGGGCCCCGCCCCCCAGCGAGATCTCACTGGCGTCGCTGTCCTCACGAAAGCTCCCTCTGAACATAGGGGCTTCAAGCTTAAGCTCACCAAAACCTTGCTTTCTGCTCACCTGCTAAAAGTTTACCTTTAGCGGTTGAATGGAGAACCCATTCGTTGGCAAAAAGTCAAAGTCCTAGCATCCAAGCAAGATGCACCAAAGTGTTCATCCTGCCCTTCTTGGGTGTATCTTGATATTGGCCTTGGACCCCGCCAATTGTTTTTTTGCATTTTCTCGGCGGCGTTCATGGGTCAAAGCAGTACACTCCATACCGCAGTCGTCCAAAAGATGAGCAAAGAGCACGTGTGGAAAGTCGGGTGTGGTCTTAACCTGTGTAGTTTGAGTGGCGCCCCCTTCTCGTCCTCCCAAAAACTGAAAGTAGACGACGAATAAGCAGTTGTTGGTCCTTGTGTTGCCCCGCGTTTGCGGCCAAGTTTGGAATGTGGAATCGCTTAACCGGCGGAACCTGTTCCCATCCAGGGGCAACTTCCCCATTCCGTCCATTCTCTTCTTTGCATTGGGGAATGCAGCAATCACCTCCGGTCCTGCTTGGCAATGAAGACGCCAAAGAGGGGCGCTAATCTGCTGACCCTGGCGAGTTGAGGCATTGATTTGTCGAGCACCGGAAACTCACTTAGACCCCCAAAGAAAAACAAGAATGGGGGGGGAGTCCTTCTGGTTTCCCTTTAAAGCCAAGCAAAAGTGGGTTGCAGCCAAAACACGGCACACCCCATCCAATTTGGCCCACACCCTTCAGTTGATCTGCATGGCTTTCGGTCAACTTGTGTTGCTCGCACCGGTTCACTCGAAAAGGCAGCGTCTTGCAAAACGGGTACGCCGCAAAGATGTTGCCTTTCGAGCGCCCGCATGAGGCACGGCCCGCACTTCTTCTAAGCATGAAACAAATTGGTCTGTGGCTATTGCCCCATACGCAAACCGTGGAACTTTGGGTTGGTTGCAGAAACCGTTTGCCAAAAAGGCGAAGGTTAAAGATCCAACCAGCAGCCAAAACACCTCGAACTAACTGTCCCCCTCCAGAAACAAGAACCCTGGCCCCTGGCCGCGGTCAAACGAACCCACACATGTTTCCCATGCACCAAGGTCTGTCACAGCATAGCCAAGTCTAGCGCCGACTGGCGCGAGACTCGCCCCGATGTCCCGGGCAGGTCGCACGTCCTGGCGCCTCGCGCTATTTGGCAGCAGGCGCCGGGAAAACTCGTGAGGCGACCGCCCTTGAAAATTCGTCGATCACGTCCTGTTCAATTGATTCAATCATGCCTGGCCGATTCTGTACAATCTCCATACCGTAGATTCTGGCATGATGGCATGTCAGCAGAGCGCCCACGGAGGACCCCCCACAAACAGCGGCCTCTGTCGTTCTTCAAGACAGCAGATTCCCGCGTTCTGGGCTTAACCCAGGAAAAACGGTTACAGACCGTTGCAAAACTGCTTTTGCCCCTGGAGGGGAAAAGCACGTTTTCATGAATTACCTACCCCCCGAGTGTCAACGACACTGGGGCAGGTGCTCCTGTCGTATCCAAGCTCGCCACCTAACAAAAGGTGTTGAATTCCGACAAAAAATCCCCCGAATTGAAACCTGCAAGCTACTGAAGCTTGCAATGCGGAAAGCTTATCCGGGCGCGTCCGTATCAGCGGGCGCGGTTCGACCTTCCAGATCGTCGCCACTTACCAGAGCTCTTCTCGGGTGCAGACACTGCACACACTGCCTGCAGCAGATCGCTTGCATTGACGAACGTCTCACTAGGTTGCTTGTCAAGGCAGCAAACGGTGGTTAAAACTACGGTACAAAGCGCCCTTGTTTTCCTTCGGGTCTCCTTTCCATCGTATCCCCAAACAAGTCAGACCAGGGAAGGGCGGCCCTTTCGCCATATGGGTCTGTCCATTTTTGTGGGGGTGGCTACAAATGAAACTAAAGGGAAACCACCACTTAGGGGGGGACCCCTATCTTTACCCACTTTCCGGGTGTGGGGGAGGGGGGGGGGCAAACATGTTTTTACACTAAGGTCATCTCAGGACACCAGGAGAGCCATCTGCCCCCGGCTTCTTTGGTCTGGTGGCAGTGCGGATCCGTAAGCTGGAACCAGGACCATTCTCGCGGTACACCACTCAGGAAGTGAGAGAGTGATTGGCCCCAATGTGCTCCCTAGAAATGCATTCGCAACCGAACGAATGCCGAGGATAGTTCTTGATCATGCAGTTGTCTGCTCTAAAAGAAAAGGGGGTCTTGTTGGGGCCAGCACGGTCAACACACGAAACAGCAGTGGTTCAAAAATCGGGCAACGTGAAACAAACACTACGCAATTTCCTGGGTCCCGTTTTGAGGTATGCCACCACAAATTGCTCCTATGATGTGTTTGTATGACATCCCTGACCCCTCAGGTAACGCTTAGTTGGTGGCTTGGATTGGTGCTTTGGGGATTTGAACCCCGGCAAAATTGAGAAACCACTCCGTTTCACCCCCCAACCACCGGCCAAGCCACCAACTAGTGGGAAGCTTTCCCCCCCCCTCCCAAAAAAAAATGTTCAAATTGAAGGGCCCGGCCTCCACCCTGTACGAGCGACCCTTCCCTGGCTTCACAGTGAACACATCCTCAGCGACGGCTCGCGCCGGCTTCGTGCTGTTCGCCGACGGTTTGGACGGGCCGATGTGGGTGGGCCCCCTGCATCACTTTCACGGGACATCCACATGTTGGCACTTGGTGTGTGGTTTGTTTTAGGGGCGACCCCCCCCCCAAAAAAAAATGAAAGAAAAACGAATAATAATAATAATAATAATAATAATAATAATAATAACAATAATTAATAATAATGATAATAATAATAATAAATAATAATAATAATACTAATAACAATAATAATAACAATAATAATAACAATAATAACAATAATAATAGTAATAATAATAATAACACATTATTCTTCCAAAACCCACAACAAGGGGCACTACGAGTCTTCGCCGGTGACCTGCGACTCGCGACCCATGGAGCGGCGAGACCCCGATACCCCCATGGCTTTTTATGGCCATCCAGGGGAAGGGGACCCTTGAAATGGTACGGTCGATGTTGCTTTTTGGGGTCTCCCTTCTTAAGAACCCGAAGACCCTCGAATGAGAGACACATCCATACATATATATATATATACATACCTGAATGTGTATATATATATAGATATGAATGAATCAATTTACTTGTAAGGGAGAGCCGCTGGAACTGGCAGTTTTCCCAAAAGCAACCGGCAGTGCTTCTTGGCTCAAACATGAGCGATTCTGAGTCAAGCAGTGGCAGCAGCAGCAATGGCAGCACTGACAGCTCTGATGCCGATAGCAGCAGCAGCTCCGAAGTTGACTTCAGGCAAGGTCTTGCACGGGGGGGGGGCAGGGCAGCACAAGAAACCTTGCAGGCAGTACCTCTCCAACTTGCAGAAGTATCACCTGGAGTGCGGTGGAGAGTTCACACGCCGCCTTGGTGCGCTGGCCAAACATGATGCTTTATCTCATGTCCAATGTGTTGCCTGTTGCCTTGTCTTAAAACTAAGGCAGCAACTTGCAAGAACTGCCAGAGCTGGCAGTCATGACAGACTGCAGTGGGGCAGAAGCCCCACTGGTTGCACTGGACTTGATGGGCGTGCAGTACAAACACTTGCACCTAGGATGCGTTTTTTCAGATTTGCTTTTTATCAGTCCTTGAATCCAAGCTTGCTTTCTAAGGTCGAGCTGTGACAACGCAGCTGGGCCACAGAAATGGGTCCATGCCAACTTTGCACCCAAGCAGCCACTTGCTTGCATCACTTGTTGCGCATTGACACGTTTCCTTTCGGCAGGACCCATGAGCGTATTTATCATGTGCACGAGCCCAGTGGTGCACTCTAATAAGCCCCGGGCCCGGGGTGATCAAGATAGGACGCGGTGTTGAATCCACATGGCAACTCCCAAAGATTGCAAACATTCCAAGAACATTCAATTTAAAACAAAATCCAGTTTAAGGTTAAGTGCCGAGATAGCCAATAAACGAGTCAGCCAGATACCATTCATTCCTATATAGCCAGCCGTCAACCAAATAGCAGACTATAATAAATAATAGTTAAGATGAGTAGTACTACGTCAGCAACCAAATAATCAGTAATGATCATGGTAGTCAATCGACAGATGATAACCCATGGCCTGCCATGAGCCGATAGTGAATAGTTGAATAGTAATAGAGCAGCCTTGAATAGTCGATAGGTTCTAAATTCTAAATATGAATAGTCAATAGTGGATAATAGTAATGCACTCGGGAAGCAAACCTGCAGTGCGAATATAAAACTGTACATCTACTGTACTGAAAGCATTGCGTGTGTGCTATGTGCATCTGTAAATTCATAACATTATATAATATAATAATATAATATCATATCATTCTGAGCTGGCAAACACAACGATTCCCCAGGTTCTACAAGGATCTTTGCCGCCGAAAGCTCAAACACTTGAAGGGGAAGGCCGGGCGCACTTCTTGACACGAGCTGTGTTTGTGGGTGGGCTGACAGGTGGATCTCTATGTGGCAGGCTTCCCCTGCAAAGCTTTCAGCCGGCTCAGGGCGAAGACCAAGGGCCTCAAAGACCCACAAGCTCGGCAGTTCTTTGGGGTTTGCCGGGCCATCAAGGACACTGCGCCGAAAGCAACATGGCTGGGTGACTCGTTGAAACGTGACAAGTGTGCAGTTGGATGGTTCGCCGTCGCCCCTTGTTCTCTTGTTATGGCCCTGTGTTGTTTGCTAAACTTCAGAATTGAATTGACTCTGAGAGCCCTCATGATAACCAAATTTAGTGAATAGGCGCAAGGAAGTTAGAGCGTAAAATGACCATGCATTGTGCGTCCTTCTGTTTTGGCTGAGGCATGCCTGCTGGAGAACGTGTTGGGGCTGCAGAAATACTTGCCAGCAGTCCAACGCAACTTGCAGAAGACTGGGCCCTACGAGATTCACATTGTTGAGCTCGATCCGTTTCTGGGCTTAAAAGATTCTCATTAACAAATTCACTGCAAACTGTTCACTGGCTTGGCAAAGCAGAATTGCAAGGCTGGACTTTGGCGGCCTTACAAGCCGCCGGCGTTTGTTCATTTTCATGGCGCGAAAGCCGCTGGTGCGAAGCAGCCTCGAGTTCAGAACGGCCATCGATGCGGCTTTGGAGCGGATGCGCCACACAAGCCGATATTTGTGGACGCTCGTTTATAAGAAACACAAAGCCATTATGTGATTCAGCATTGGGGCCTGTGCTGCGTGTTTATCAGCATTGGGGCCCGTGCTGTCAAGGAAGTCGATGCTCCTCCCAGAGGACTGCCCAGCGGTGGTGGCAGACAAGAAGCGCAGGGCAAGGCGGCAGAGGGCAAGGCTGGATGCGCTGCACACGAGCTCCGACAGCGATGCCCCATGGAAGCACAACCACAAGAAGTTGCTTGGCACCCAATTCTAGCAAGAGGGTAAGATGGCATTGAAACGCTATCAATGGGCTTGACCATTTGGCCAGCTGAGGTTTAGGCAGGCGCATCAAATAGATGCAAGGATGACAGAGGGGAGGGCCAAAACACGACTTGGGCATCATGGCTTCAGCTACATCGCAGGGAGTGAACGCACAGTGGCGGTGCCCTGCTTGACTTCAGAACTCCTCATTTCATTCAAGGAATTTAGGGGTTAAAGTTTTGTAGCAATATGGTTTCGCTCAGCGCACCCAGCTCCAAGGCAGTGGACATCATGGACTACAAAACTTCAGACTGGCAAGCGCTCGACACTTCGCAGAGCTTGGACAGGATGCCAGTCATGAGAAGCAATGAGCGACTTGTCAGTACTGAAAGTAGGTCGACGAGTGATGCATGATTGACCGCACACTCAATGTGCCTGAAACTGAGTCCATTCTGCGTGATCACGTCCCAGCCTTACATCACAGTAAGCGATGCATGAGTGGATGTCACACAGCATGTTATTGAGCCCAACCCAATTTCACTTGCCTCAATGTCACGCAAGAGGCCCGGCGGGTCATACCTTTTGGCCCAACGGCGGCGCTTTTTGGTCAGCCCTGCCCTCACCATCTTCAATTCATGCGTTGCTTAAATTACGCAGCCCACGAGGCGAGGAGAAGCTCATGCTGATGGGCTTCCCCATCCACAAGCTCAGTTTGTCCCAGAACAGCCACAATGACACTAGGCTTGCAATTTGCTCAGTCAGGCTGGAGAATCTAAGTCCCCAAGAACAGGTCGTGCTAAGCAAGAGGAACCTGCCTGGTTCTTGTGTTCGCAACTAGTGTGTTCACGAGCAACACAACCCTCGGTTCACATCTTGAAGTGTTTGACTCGCAAGGCCTAAGGGTTTGGGCTCTTTTGGGTGGATTTGGAGCTTGGCCAGAAAATGCGTACTTCGCATTCATGCACCATAGCCTGAGATCAAATGCGACAGAATGACATGACAATGAGTTAGACCATCAGTTGGCATGCCAGCACGAATACCGGATCGAGATCCATTGTACGATTGGGCAGATGCTGAACAAACTCCTCTGTGAGACCATGTGCGATTGTTATGATGTTTTCGAACAGAACCACAATGAATGACAAACATTTGTTCCGGGGGACGGTAGATTAACTGCGAAGGGATGAACCACCGTTGCCCAAGCCCGTGGCTTGCCCATGGCAGCAGCGGCTCCGGCAGCTCGTCAAGCAGGTCGCGAAGTCGTAGCCGGAGCCGGAGTTCAGCTGGCAGCAGCAGTGCTGACAGCCACGAGGAGAATGTGGGCGGGGGCTTAATGCTCGAGCTTTGATCACTGTAAGCTAATACTCCTGTCCTCAACCAACGGGTTACAATCACGACATACACGTAACTGTTAGGGCTTTGGGCTAGAAACAGGAGAGCAGCAGTGGCCCTGAAAGTGCTCATGTGGACAACACGTTCGCCCTCTCCTGGGTCAACTTGCAAGCTTTGCAATCTGCCACTGGCGAGGGGCACAGTGAGCAACAACAAGTTGCCAACGGACAATCTGCAAAAAGGATCAAGAAGGTGCTTTCAGGGGAAAAGCAAAGTGGCTGCCGCTGCAAGCAGAAGACTCTGCACTGAAGCCTTAGCACACGGTTTGATTGTGCTTGGATGCCGGTCTAGTTTTTCTTTGAGTGCAGTGTTGTTGGCAAAATAAACAATTATTACTTGTTGCACAAGCAGGCTTGTCAAACGACAAGGTGTTGGCGCAAATTTTCCTGGACATATTTGCTGAAGATTTGCGTCGCATTCTGGTCCATCCCGAAGGGAGGCCAAGATGCATTGCTGTGGTCAATGCAGCAGCACCGGGGCAATGCAGGGTCAGATGATTCAGACGATGAACTGGAAACCGCTGGGGCTGGTCATCAAGTTGCTTGGTATTTGGCAGGCAGGGGCATGTCAACCGTGTGTTTAAATTGTTTTGGTGTTTAGCGATTATTATTTAGAAGCATCATGTAAGAACCACCCCAGGAACTCGGGTATGCCGCGACGCTTTTGCAAAGATGCTTGGGGTCGGTCAGCACCGGCTTGGCAGAACGCGGCGGAACTTCCAAGGGATGGACGAACGCTTTGGAAACAAGGCCACTGCGAGGCCGA